GTTTACCGTACGTTTGTTTGGTGATTATTGATGATTCTTTTTACATTTCGCCAATAAAAGGCAAGTAACAAGCAATTGAACCAATAAATTGTTGCTGGTTCTTCTGTTCTCAAGTATCAAAGCTAATTCTGGAATGATGAGGGAACTTGTTTCGACTCTCCATTGCGTGATCAACGCATTGCTTGTGACAATCACTTCACGCATCCATTCATTGTTTTTTGTTTATTTATTCATTCAGCCAGTTTTTCCCCAGACATCCAATCCATTGTCCAAGTTGTCACCTATGCCACTATCTGTCTCTTAGTTCTTTGTTTTATCGCTTGTCAATTAATAAGAGGTCTCTCAATAACGTCGTCGGGACATCTTCCGGACTTGTGAAACGACTGTTCACCGAAAACAAAGGAGGGTGCTGAAGATAGAGGGGCACTACAAATTGAAGAGGGGTGCAAATAAATTAAGAGGGGCGCTGCGCCCCTCTTAAACCTTTCGTGGAGAACACTGTCTTATTGTTACTGTGTGTTACTGGTTGGAAAATGCTTCCATTTGACTTTCTTCATTTAAAAAAATGTTGAATAATCATCCCAATAAATAAGGTATTTGGTTAAGCCAATGACTACCGTTCTTGTAGGGGCCATCAAAGTTTTGTTTTATTTTGGTTTTTGTTTATTTAAACATTTGTTGTATTTGTTGATACCTTCTAGAAAGAAAGATTTACCAGACCTACCACCAGAGGAAAGAGATGCGAGGACAGTTTTTTGTTGGCAGTTGTCTCAAAAGATTCGCCCCAGGGATATGGAAGAATTTTTTTCTTCAGTTGGAATTGTAAGTATTTTGTGCTCAGTCTGTGTCCAAATGCATCTTGAATTTCTATCTGTTACATTTCATACAAACGTTACAGGATGTCCTATTCATCAGTGGTAATACATACAAACACCATTGTTTGTTTGTTTTTCTAATGAACAGTTTTAAAGTTATTGCGTATTTGTCTTTAAAAAAAACTTAACTTCAGAAACCATGATTGATATGACTGTAGAAAAAATTTCTTGCACAATTTACTTAACCTAGCAAAATGATGGTACTGCATTTAATTATTCAGATTTTGTTGTGATATATCACATGTACCATCAGTTTGCCTAAACATTCAAGCAGTTACCCAAACTTGGAATTAACTGTTAAATTTTCTTGTCACTTTGATTTTAATGACCCTGTTCAATTGACAATCAATTTGAAGATATGAATGTGTGTTATTTATAAAAAAAAAATATTTAAGCACAAAACTCCATGGTAGTTGGAGTGGCCATTATCTATTCATTGTATTTTCTTGCTATTGTGTTCTTTCAGCTGATGTAACAAGTGTCCTTTGAATTGATTTTTACAGGTTCGAGATGTAAGACTTATTTCTGATAGGAATTCAAGGCGATCTAAAGGAATTGCATATGTTGAATTTCAAGATAAAAACAGTGTCCCATTGGTGAGTCTTCAAGTTCATCCACTGCCTTACAAAAGTATAATTTGAACGTTACAATCTGGTTTTCCTAGGCAGGGAATGTTGAATATGTATCTATCCAACTGCAATAATTTAATGTACAACTAAAGTGCATCAGAGAATATTACTACTTGTGGTTAATTGCTTTTTGTGTTTTTTTTTATAGGCACTTGGTCTAAGTGGTCAAAAGTTGTTAAGTATTCCAATCATGGTACAGGCTTCACAGGCAGAGAAGAACAGGGCTGCACAAAACTCTCAAAACTTACAAAAAGGCAATTCTGGTCCTATGAGGCTGTATGTAGGATCATTACATTTTAATATTACTGAAGAAATGCTGCGGGGAATTTTTGAGCCATTTGGAAAGGTGAGTGACTTTTTCATGTGACGAGTGTAGCTCTAGTATAGATAACAGGTATATATAGGAAAGAATGTGGAACAAATCTATATACCAAAATAGTTTAGAATGTGGGCAGTTTCCTGTCTATGGGTGATAACATTTTGTTTTCTTTCACAATTTTAGTTTTGTAAGCCTTTGACTGACTGGTGACCCATTTTGTCCCAAAAAACACAAATAAATCAACATTTGGATATGTCTCTGTTTCTCAGTCATGCCTTGGCAGATTTTGTTCACTGATATTGAGATCACTCGTGGTACCGTACTTATCCGGGTAAGAGCCCATGCCTGGGCAAAGGCCCACCCTTTTGACCCAATAAAGGAGTTGAGGTCATATCCGGACACGCGCCCAGGGGGTCTTTTTCTACACAAAAAAAAAAAACTATTTTCTATTCGTTGACTGTGGTTGTATTAACAGTCGACTTTCTTGAAGACTGTCGTGATACTTTTAAATAATGTTAATTGCGTGAAACAAGGGGGGTTGAACGCAAAATAGCTGTGACAGCTTTCTGCCTTCAGGCAGCGCGTTCTGAATCATAACAGTCAGCAATTCTATAAAAATATATATTAAAGCAGAAACGGTAAGTTCTCTTTTTAAAATATGTCATGGCCCTAAAATTGGCCAGCCATTTGGTTTGTGCTTCCTTAGTAACTTAGAAACGATTCAGGCAAATCGTAAAAGGAGAGCCGCAAGTGTCGCACTTGATCGGCTTTAGCGCAGTCGACAATGAAACCAATGTTGCAATATTGTAGCAACCCGTACCTGGAGAGTGGTTGAAATCACGTTATTTTGGCTTTATAAAATATTTTGTAGCAGCTTGCGAATCCATAACTGGGGTCAGCAATTTTGCAATGTCACGCCGAAGACTGCCAACTTTTTTACCATCTTTCATCACCGTCATGAAAACATTCTTCTGTCGTTGGATAAAAAAAAAAAACTTTCTATTTCAAGTCCACCGCGATATCCATATAGTGAGACATTCCAACCGCCGGAACTTGCTGAATGATAACTTTCACAGTGATTAATAAGCGTTGAGTCTGATAAAAAAGCAATATCACGATTTGACCTTTATGATGAAATACTAGTAGTGATGTCATTATTAGCCAATCAGTAAAGCAGATTTGCTAGACTGTAAACAAAAGCATTGTGTGCCATCGCAGCAGA